AGATGTGGAGCAGGGCTGTCCTCAGCCCGGGAAGGCACGAGAGGTGCCGAGCTCAGCTCACACCCCCAGCCAAGGTGAGCCAACCTGAGCCAAGCCTCAACTCCACATTTATCCTGGTTTTGCCTGCACACACAGAGAGGAGAAGGGGAAGGAAAGGCTTTCCATTAGTGAGCAACACTGCAGGCTAATCTAACATGGCTCTGAATTGCATTGAATCACATTAATGTCAGTACTCTAAATTATTTGCAGACACCCCATTCTTCCACCACCATCATTTTTCTACCACTTCTCCCCAATTATAAAAAAATAAATAAAATCCCCCAGAGGAGCCCAGGGCACTACACACAGAGAACAGATTTCCCTTTCTGACGCTGTCTCATTGAATCAGCATTAGCTGCTTTCCACACACTCCATGGGAATCCAGGCTTGAACAATAAAAAAAAAGCCATAAAAAATGGTTTATGTTCTCTTTTACCTGCTCATTTGTGAATCAAAATATCTTTGAACTGAATAAGAAGTTCAACTCCAGAACACTGCCAGAGCACGCGGGGTTTGCCCTTCTCAGATGTCAGCCCAGGGGAGGCTGTGGGGCAGCAGCAAGATCCTGCCCTCCAGGGGAAGGGGAAAGCTTTTCAAGCATCTCAGATACATTTATGGCATCTGTGGGATCACAAAACACCGTGTGAGGGAACAGGTAATGGCATTTCCTTCCCACTTCTGTGGAGTTATTGCAATTCCTTCTCATTACAGTGGCCGTGTCCTTGCCCTCTCCAGACAGGCAAAGTCCAGCCTGCTGTTTCCCTGGGTTAATCTCTGCTTGCTGCAGGGACCAGGAATGCACTGGGCGTCCCAAAAATCAATTTCCTACACATTCTGGACTTCCCAAAAGGGGCATCTGTGGCAGATGCACCGGTGAGCACAGCAGACATGATGGGGCCAAGCTCCAGGAGCAGCAGAATCCCTCTTGGTCCATATTCCTGTGACATTTTTCCTGCTCTCCCAGCTCATTGCCCGCCAAGGACAATTAAGTCCATTTATTGTGCACTTTTCTGGATGACACCTCTCACTCAGTGCTGCAGTGTTGTGATCTGACCTTTCCTTCCCCTCCTCTGGTGAGGGATGAGGCAATGAGGCTCCTGGAACTCGGCGCACGCTACGGGGCCGCGTTCCTCCACGTGGGAGGCAGCACTGCTGGGTGCTGGGGTGGGCATTCCTGCTTCACTGGAGCTGCTCACATTTGGCAGGCAATGCTGCTGAGGGTTTTATCCTACTTGCAGAGCTGTATTTTTGCTAAGTCAAGGACAGCACAGCCACTGCCAGCAGCTTTGCCTCGGCTGTGCTCACCCACCGCACAAATAAACTTTCCCCTCTGATGAAGGAATCCCAGCAGGCTGCAGAGCAGGAGGATTGGAAGCACTATCTCCACTTGAGCTGCTCCTAATCCCAGCTGCCTGCACAGGCTGCTGCCCAATTCCAGCTCCACATGAAAAGGAGCAGCTGAGTGTCCCAGTCTGACTGCCCCATGGCAGTGGTGCTGGCCATGAAGGTCGCTTGGTGGCAATGCAGAGGGTGAGGGAAAGAAGCTGCTGTCTTGGATAGTGGGGTTTGTGCTTGAGAGTGGCAGAGTAACAAGGAAAGCCTCTTTCCTACCTTGTCCATAAACACAGTGTGGCTACTGTAGGAAACTTGAAGGGAATAGAAGAATTTCTGCAGACACAGAGATGTGACCCAGTATCCAGAGGTGGGAAGAGAACTCCACTGTTTTGTTAAGCTAAGCTACCTAAATTCATCTTTTATCACCCCTTTCTTCCCTCAACCAAGCCAAAAGATTACACAATCCAAGATCTGTGTAGACTTTGGTCCTTTCCCAGGAACATGTAGATGGACAAGGGCGCTCCAACGTCAGGTCACATCCATGTCCCAAAAATCCTGCTGACTTGTGCCAGCAATACCCACCCCCGGGTGAAGCCAGCGCTTGATCAAGACCAACTTTGTCCCAGATGCAGAGCTGGAGCTCCCAGGAGCAGAGAGGAGGCTCCAGAGCACCTTTCCCTTCCAGAGCTCAGCCTGTGAACACTCGTGGCTCCCAGTGTCACCTGCAGGAGCTGTGGGTCCCTGAGCCCCTCTCAGATTTGCTCAGCAGACCCTGAGAGGAGCAGGACCCTCCCTGCTGCCCACTCCAGCTGCAGCCTGTCCAGTGAGGCAGCCAGCACGTGGCTGGAGCACAGCTAATCCCCTAATCCCCAGTTCCTGGAGTTCTGAAAATAACGGAATTATTATTTTTGGAAACAACACATGTTTCTGCTTTCCTATATTAACATCTAATTAAGAAGCCAAATATATTTACAGAGCACTTTTCAAACTCCCTTTACACACAGTGTGCTCATGAATCATTTCCCTACCTGGGGGTAAAGGCTCTTGTGACACGGGGCATAGATTAACACAGGAGCCAGCTGAAAATACCCAGGGAATCAGAAATTCCTGAAAGCAGACCCAGCTGCAGTACAGGCCACCAGAGCTCCAGCAAGCCCAGCACCCCCAGTTTGAGTCTTTTACAACCCTAATCCACACTGGGGGCAAACAGGGCACTTTAAACCCTGGTTCTCCAGTGCAGAACAGCACCAGGCACCCTGGTGCCTTCTCAGACTGTTTTTAACCCTCCTCTGAGTTATATCTGCTACAGGCTGAGTGTCTTCCTCAGTAATGAAAGGGCTCTTTTAGGACACTGCCCTGCTCTGTAGCTGCACGGTCTCTGCACACTCAACACTCTCCTCCTGCAAAGCTCCTGGTTTGCCCCCAAAAAGCACCTGGGGACCCCAGAGGGACCATCCTGGCATGCCAGAACACCCTGCAGCTCTCTGAGCAGGGAGTAATGCAATGCAAAATCCTGCACAGAAAACACTTTTCATATCAAAAGACTCCAATTTCCTAGTTTAGGCCACTAAAACTTAATTAACCTCATAACCCACCTGGTGATTTGCAAGCCATTACCCAGTGTTCTTTGGACCTTGAAATACTGAACACAGTGAGGTCCTAAGAGGGATTAATCCTTTCATAGAAACTGTTTAACTCCAGGAAATGAACACTCTTATTTTGGAATATTCTCTGTTAGAGACTGGAAGGGGCAGCCAATAAAGCAATGGTTGTGCAGAAATGAGGACTGGGCAGCTCAGCTCTCAGAGCCTGGTGTCCTGAGCCCATGCTCTGCTCAGTTTCAGTGTTCACAGCAGTTTTAATAATTCATCCAAAACCATCAAAAACACCACTAGAACCAAATTAACTACCTGCTCCTCACTTGGCCTCTATCTGAAGGTTTTGCTCCCTCAACACCAGAAGCTGAAGGCAAGGAACAACACAGAGGGAAAGATTCTAAATAATTCAACTTTCCTGCTGTGCTAATGTATTAGCTTGGAGTTCTCAGGGCTGGGATGAATGGATTTAAAGCCAGGGTTGGCACGGGTGCCAGGGTCAACTCCCTAGGAAAGGAGATAAGCAGCAAAATGGAAATCAGCTGGGCTTTGCACAAAATATTTGTGAAATTTAAGAGGAGTGAGCAAATGAGTGTCCCATCCCCTGAATCCAGCAGCAGCCAACTCCTGCACTGGGAGCAGGGGAGAAAAATGTCCAGCCATGAAGAGAGCAAATCCTACCAGGTACCCAACACCACCACACAGAGGGACACACACAGCAGCCTTTGCTACTGGAGTTTTGAGCTTACTGGGGTCCATCACACCTGGGCAGGCAAGGGAAAGGTGTTGTACCTGCAGCTGCTGGGTGAGAGCAGCCACCGACCCCACAATGATCACAGATCCATCAGCAGGGGATCCCAAGAGGATCTACAATGTTATTTTGTTTAAATTTGTTGTGACATCTCCAAACAGCCCCAGCACACACAGGGATGCTGAACCCTCACACATCCCTGGCCAAGAGTCCACTGGGTGGGACATGGGGTGAAAACCACAGCAAACCCCAGCTCTGGAGGGGAGTGTTGGCCCTGCCAGGGGAAGGGAAAGCAAATGGCCTGGCTGCTTGCTGTGGAGACCAGGAGGCACAGCTGGATAGACCCCACAGCATTTATCTTCCTATTTTTTAAAGAATAATTATACCCTGCCTTTAAGCAGCCCGACAGATGCTGCTCAGGTGTGTGCTTCCTTGAGCCTCCATCCATGCCCCTTCCTGGATTCCTGTCTCTCTCCAGCTGCCCCTCATGTCCTCCCCAGCACTGATGGCCACTGTGTGCTCCCAAACCCCCTCACCCAGCTCACATCCTCCTGGTGTCACCTCTCTGCACTGTCCCCAGCACCAGAGATGTCACTGCTCCTGTTCCAAGGCAGGATGCTGCATTAGCCAAAATGACTTTTCCAACGTTTACATCCATTTTTTGTTACTTGCCAAACTTAGAGTCCACATTCAAAAGTATTTCTCTAAGGCATGCAGGGAGAACCCCTCCTGCAGCACCAAGATTTTCCCTCCTGGCAGCTCATCCATCATTCCACAAGAATTCTTGGATTTTTACACCATGCTGCTTTAAGTTTCTAGACACTGGTGATTAAAACCCCTCAACCCTGAGCATTACCATGTCGTCATCATCAGGTTTCAGAGCCAGCAGTGTCAGTGCAATTAGGTACAGCTCATTAACATACAGCCTGCATGCTCTGAGCAAGTACAGTTCCAACAAGAGGTCTGCTGCCTCCTTCACAGCCCAGAGCACAAACTGCTCAGGGCTTCCATCAAATTTCAGTTCCCATTTCTGGAGTAAATTGGACAGTAAAGATTTAGCGGGCAGACGAAATAAAATTTCAACGATAAAACCAACAACACCCGAATTAAATGCGAAAACACAACACAACCCTCACCTACTCCTTCTGCCCAACCTCCTTCACTCCCAACACCATCCTGGCGGGCGGCAGAACCCCGGCACGGGGGTGGCACCCACACTGGGCATCGGCAACACGGGAAGCTTTGGCCAAGCTGCTCACCGGGGGCCCTGGGGCACTCACCAGGAAGCGCACATCGTCGAAGCCGTTCAGGAGCAGTTTGCTCTCGTACTGCTGCAGGCCGATGGACTCCAGCCACTCCCCGACGCTCTGCTCCAGCATCCGCGAACCTGACGAGAGAGGAATCGGCAGCCGCTTGAACAGGGAGAAACCGTTCAGGCGGTAGCAGCGGCACTCTGAGGAGGACAGATGGCATTGCCACATCATAGTCATTACCATAAAGAAACTCAAAAAATTATGCTCAGAGTACAACAAATCGGCGGGCAGACAATTCCTCCTGTGTGCACAGAGCATGGACAACGAGCTCGCGCTGCCTCGGCGGGCTCCGGGTGCAAATCTGTGCTGCGCTTCACACTCAGAAAAGAAACTCCTCGCCCAGACAAAGATTCAGAGGAGCTGCTGGGGCGCTGAGATCACAGGCACTGCTGTCAGGGCTCGCCAGGCAAGCACATGAAGCCCAACCCCACGGGGATGCGGATCCACTCCTCGGCTCAGCGGAAGGGGGCGGGAGGAGAGCAGCAAACTTCCACCCGAGGCATTCCCAGGCAGTCGCAGGTGCGAGGGAAAGGAGCGGAGCTGTGCCAGTCCTCTCATGTGAACACCTCTGGACACAGCCCCAGCTCAGCAGGGAGCACGGAGCAGCCTGAGAGGAAACAGCTTCATGCAGCTGAGGCAGCTCGGACACGGTGGATGCTCGGGGAAGCAGCAGGAGCCCAGGCAGAGCGGCTGTCCGCGGGAAGACACGCAAGACAAAGGAAGCACAGACTGCAGCAGCCGAGAGAAAGGGCTTGTGCTCTTCCTCCCCAGCAGTCCTGAGAGAGGCAAACCATGGCAGGGGCTTTGTCTCGCCGTTGCTGTGCTATGGGGACCCCAGGCTCGTGTCTGGCAGCCCTGGCTCTGTCATTCTACCAGCGATCCGATCACTTGGCATTCCAGCACGCTGCCAGGACCTCTTGGCATTCCAGCAGGCTGGCCCCAGAGAGCCCAGCCCCACCTCTGCACCGTGTGACAGCACAGCCAGGACGGTTCTCACCCAGCACTGCTGCTCCTGCCAGGTGTTGGGCACACACCTGGATTTGCCCTTCCTTCATTTTCTTCGGCCGAGCGCAGCCGCCGCATGGAGCCCCTCGCTCAGACAGGGAGCAGCTCTGCAGGAAGGAGGCATTTCGGTTCCCTGCTTCCGAGCCCACAGCAAAAGGAAAAAAGCAAATGCAAGCACGCTCTCTCCTCTTCCTGCAGCAGCTCAAGTCCGAGCCATGCCCTGGCACCTCCCCCTCAGCCTCTGATAAAGGAGATTTCTCACAATACCTATGGAAGCCCTGGCAGATGAGCTCTCCCTTCCCTCATCCCTGGGATGAGTCCAGTGACTTGTTACTCTCCTCTAGTAAAGCTCAAGACCTTAAGTATGACAAAAAAAAGTTCAGAGATCTCCTTTTCATCAGGGAATTTGCTATGCAAGACAGGCGGATTTCCAGGCTCTCTGGCACGTCTGTTTCCAGCATGGATGCAAAGAAAAGGATGATCAGGAGACCCTCGTTTGCTTCCTTTGAATCTTCAGGTCAGCTGAAGCAGTTTGGTACCTTCCAGCCATCCCTCCCCTCTGTGCTGCAGTGGCTGCACACACGGAGAGCTCACGGTGTCACCTGCAGATTCCTGGGGTAATTCCTGCTGTCTGCTCCTGGGGGCTGCTCCTGTGCCGGTCACAAAACGCTTCTGCCTCCCTGTCCTGAGGCAGCCCGTGCGCCGGGGCAGCAGCTCAGCCCGGACTGTGTGCCAGCAGCTGCTGCTCTCCGGGTCTCCACGCTCCCCTCCATCCTCTCCCCGCGGTCCCTGCGCTCCGCCGGCTGCGGCGGCGGCTTTGTCTGAGCCGCCAGCCCCACGCTGTCCCTCCCTTCTCCTCATCCTCTCCCCCCTCCCAGTGCTCCCACCCGCCGGGAGGGAGGCAGCGGCTCCGTAACTCTCCACTGGAAATCACTGACTGCTCAATATTTACGCGATGATGGACAACGCGGCTTGGGGGTTTTAAAAAATGATGTCACAGGTTTGCTCTGACAGATCCAAGTGATTTGTGGCTGGCTCAGAATTAATTTATCAAGAGAGAGGTGAGGAAGTGCTTGCTGCCTACCACAGCATTCCTGGGAGCTGTCGGGGTATTGGCAGAGGGAATGAAACCACAGCAGCTCCTTCTCCTGAGCTCCTGAATTTAATTTTTAAAATTATTTACTCTATTCAGCCTTGCATGCACCTGTAAATGCATTTCTGCTTTCAGTAGGGAAACCTACAGTGACACCAAGTGCAGGTTTTCTGTTCACAAAATGCTTTCAAGTTGGAAACCACAGCAGCTCCTTCTCCTGAGCTCCTGAATTTAATTTTTAAAATTATTTACTCTATTCAGCCTTGCATGCACCTGTAAATACATTTCTGCTTTCAGTAGGGAAACCTACAGTGATACCAAGTGCAGGTTTCTGTTCACAAAACGCTTTCAAGTCATGACAAAATGAAGAGAGGGAAGTAATTGGAAGGGGTGAATGGAGGGGTTCCTTTAAAAACAGAAGAACAGACACCTAAAACATCCCAGGCTGAAAACTGAGATGCCCCAAATACATCTGATATTTGTGTGTTACAAGGATGATATGAGAACAGAAGAATCACAACTTGTGCCCCCTGGCAAGATCCTGATCACAACTTCTGGCTGAAACAAACTCCTATTTCTCAGCTCCATCCTTCCCCTTATGCTCCACTCCACATTCTGGGAATCCTGCCTTTGAGAGGCCTGCAGCTGGCAGAGGGAGAACCAGTGGGCAGAGCTGGAATGCTGAGGGCATTCCCAAAGCTGTGCTGCCTCCTGCAAGGCTCTTCTCAAGTCCCACAGCACAGAGAGGAAGAGGCTGCACAGGAGGGATCCCAAACGGAGTGTGACAGAGCACAGCCCATGGGAAAACCCCTGGCTCTGGGACAGGGCAGCTCCAGGCCAGCAGGGCTGCTCCAGGGTGTCCACCCTGCTGAGCACTCCCTGCACAGCTGCAGCTCTGCAGGAGCCCTGCCTCTGCCTCTCTCCTCCCTGTCAGACCTTTCCCCAGTGCTATTGATCCATCACAGCCTGAACCGGTGTGGGAAGGGCTGTCAGAGCAGGGAGCAAACCCACACAGAGCTTCAACTCCTCTGCAAAGCCACCTGATCCTGGAATGCAGAGCCTGAATCAGGCTGAACTCCCACTGGGAACAGTGGGTTCCTCCCCACCTAAGCAAAAACCTGAGTGACAAATGGGTATGAGGTGAGCTCTGTCACAGCCCGTGTGAGCTGCGTGTGCGGATCTGTATTAGCATCTCATCAGGAGGAGCTGCTGCCCATCCACAGCCAGAGCTCTTCTGCTGCAGCAGGCTGGAGGTGAAGGATTTAAAAGGACAGAATCCCCCGTGCTGGCAGCTCTCCAGCAAGCTTGAGTTCAGATTTTGCTCACGACTCAAAGGCAGAGAAGGGAATTCACATTTTAAGGGTTGTCCAAGAGCCTTGTTCAGTGGGTACCTGCAGGTGCACTTAGAAATGCCCAGATCACCCTCCCTGGGGCACCTGGCAGATCAGCCACATGCAAAGGGCATGGCCACCATGGTACCCACACTGACCCACCACTGGCACCATCCAGCCTGCTCAGCACAGCTGCTGCCCTCACAGAACGAGCTGGGAGGAAAATCCTGCAGCTGCATTCTGTAAAATTAAAGGAGTCTTCCCAAGGAGTGTAGAATTAAAATTGCTGGCAGCAGCATTGAGCATCATGTGGGAAGCCAGGTCTGCTCCTCCTGTGCCAGAGCATTCCTCTCCCTCCCAGAGCCAAAGCAGGTTAAAGACATCCACACACAGGAGCCAGCACCTTGATTGTGTGCAGATCACAGCCAGGACAGACAGACACATGCTGGGTACACACCTGAGATCCTGTGCTGCTCCTGGGAGAAGTCAATGCCTTCGCCGATGGAACTCATGATCTTTTCAATCTGGAAATTAAAAAAAAGAAAAGCATGTGTTGCATTATTAATAAAGCTTTAGGAAAAGGTAAAAGCAGCTCAGGATTTCACCTCCCACATGGCAGCTGAAGAAATCCAGGAAAGGATGTTAAGGTCTCTCTGGACTAGAAGAGGCACCCTGAACACCGTGCCTGGGTAGGTCTTTGCTGGGATGGATGGCTCACAAGGGATATGGAGAGCTTGAGGCTCTGCAGAGCCTTCCCTTCCACAACTTGCCAGTGCCTGGAAATAAAAAGCTTCAAGAAAATCCCTCAGGAGCAGAGCCCGGGGGTGAGGAAGGAGCCCCAAACTCCTCCCTCACCCTGTAGGAGCACACAGCCCCCTACACCAGCAGTGAAGCTGCAGCAGTGCTGTCACCCCCTCCTTGCCAGCAAGCAGACTGGGAGCTCAGCTTCCCCACACTCTGGTTTGTTGGGCATTTTTGTTTTGGCTTGATTTATTTTTTAAAGCACCCCATTTCCCAGTGCTATGCATGGAGCAGGTGTCTTCCAAAGGGTTTGAAAACAGATTGTGTGGGTAAGAGCAACAGAGGGCAAATGCCTGAAGGACCCAGGAGAGGGAGCAGGAGACAGCTCCATCAGCTCCATCTCTCTCCTCTCTACAGTTCCAGACAAACCTCAGGCAGTGAGGAAAAAAGGTACAAACTCTGCTGGAATGGGTGTGAGTCCTCTTAAGAGCTGTATAAAAATGGCTGCATTTGCCACACAGAGAAGAATAAATTAATGCAGGTTGCAATTCCCAGTGAACTTTCAGGAGACTTCCTTAAATGAGAAGAGAAACTTTTCAAGCAATTCTTGAGCAGAATTGGTAAATTGAGGCTTCCAGTGCAGTGGTGCAGAGAGAGAACTGACAATTCCCAGGTTAATTAGTAAGAGGAAAGACTTGACAAACTGCAGCTCAGCTGGTCAGTTCAGACCCTTCAATACTCAGCACTGAACTCCACTGTTTCCCAAAGAGAACACACTTGAGAGGCTCAGGGCTGATTGCCTACCCCAGTCTTCAGTCTAAAACTGAGCACAAAATAAAATAAAAAGAAAAAAATGCCTCCAGTAAGGCTCCCAAAAGGAAATCTCCCAAGTAAACACCCCTGTGAGGCACTTCTGAGTGGCTGCTACTGAATGCAAAGTGACTGGCCACAGAGTGGGGGAATAAACCTCAACTCTTACTCAACTTTTTTTCTCCTGGTCATTTAAGGACATACTTGGGGAAGGAGTCCAAGTTGCCCTGGACTTCACCCCTGGCTGCCTCTGCCCTGCCTGGCTCCCAGTGTGATGCTGTGTTTGGTGTCCCCACTGCTGTGAGGAGCTCCTGGGGAAGCTGCAAGAGGCTGGATCTGACTGCCATGCACCCTCAGGGGCAGCCTGGAGCTGAGCTCCACCAGAGAGGGGTTTGGGTGAAACAAAACAAGCTCTTACAAGGCTCCTGCCCAGGCAGATCTCCAGGGAGCCTCTCCTGCAGGGAGCAGCAGCACTGCACTTGCAGGGTTAAATCTCACCAGGGACCAGGCAGTGCTGGGAGCTGTAGCAGATTTTAAGGATGCAGGTCCTCTGCCCATGGAAAACCACGAGGATGAGCACCTCTATTGGGCTTGAAACACAATTTACACCCATTTACTGGGTTTGATTTGAAAATCAGCCTGGGAAAACAATTAGAAGCTCCAGAAGTTTAAGGATATTAAACTTTGCAGATTGGTGTGCATCAGTTCCAGGACAAGGTACATCTCTGAGCTGGAGCTGCTCTTGTACCTTGCCTGGGAATCTCTAGCTGGATTAAAATTGCAAATTAACTCTGAGGTCAAGTTCCTTTGTTTCCATCGTGCTGCCCTCTCCTGATCTGAGAGATTTGATGCTGTCCAGGCTCAGCCCCCAGCACTGCCAGCTCTGCAGTCCCAGCACTGCCTTGAGGACTTGCAGGTGCCTCTGAAGCACTGAAACACCCACGACCTTTTCCTCAAAAGCAGGGAATTGCCTTGTGCTATATAAAACTGAATGGAAATTAAACAATCACGTGGCAGAGGATTACCTTTCCCAACTCCCCTTTGCCAAGCACTGCTCACAGTTAGGCACAGTCCCAGCTATTACCATTACTGCAGAGGGAAATCCTGCCTGCCCTCAGCTCTCCACGAGAAGCAAACACCTCAAACAGACTCACACACCACTTCAAACATGGGTTTATGGCTGACCAGCTTGATTTAACTGTTAGGAGGCTGCAAAGAGAAGTATGAGGGGAAGGACAAACCTGGAGAGGGAACCACTGCTTTAGAGCATCCCTATCCTCTGCAACCTTTCCTCAGCTGCACTCCAGCATGGACATGGGGCTGAAGAGAAGATACCTTGAAAACAGCCCATGCTACAGTTTTTTAGGCTGTTCTTTCCCACTGGTTAATTATTAAAATACAAAAATACCATGTTTAAATATAGCGCTGCAGCTCAGACTTAGTTGTAGCCTGAACACACAGTTCTGATTTGTTTTGGCTTAACCTGTATTTTTCCACTGAAGCACCAAGTGCCCATCTCTGGTTGTGCTGTGGGGTCGGTTTGGGGTGGGGATTTTATGGTTTATTTGTTTTACAGCCACAGAACTAAAACCATAAAATGCTTCCGCCTTCTAAATTAATACAAGATATCTGTTATCTATCCCTAATGCAGAGGGGCAGCTGGCTCCATGTGGGACAGTGAGGGTGAGCCAGGGAGCCCTCAAACCCCACCAGGGAAGGAGAAGCTCCTGCACAGCTGAAGCACTCTGGGAGAAGGAAAGGCTGCAAGGACAGCAGAGGGTCCCTCATTAACCCCATAGCAGGAATGTGCCTGGAAGGAGCTGTGGAGCAGTTACCAGGATTGGAGCTCTTGGATTTATTTTCACATTTGCCTACATTTGGTGAAAGACACAAACGTCCCAAAAAAAGGAGCTGGGTGTGGCTGAGAGTCCGGCTGGGGCGAGCTCTTCCAGGCAGGCAGGGAACATAGCAACTGGCCAGTGCCTCCAAAACAGAGCCTGACTCAAAAACAAACCATCCTGAGCAGAGTTCTGCAACAGAGGAAGAGGCATTTATTTGGACAAGGCCAGCGAGGCCAAGCCAGCATGGTGGCATGCTGAGGTCTGTCCTGCTGCAGGACAGGAGACATTTCCACAGCAGAGTCCTGCAGTGATTCCCCACCTCACAGAGCTCGTGGCAGGAGCAGCCAGTGGCTCCTTGCATGGGCAGGATGCAGGATGTCTCCCCTTCTCTGGTCCCAGCCTGCAGGAGCAGCAGGGACACAGGGGTGGACAGTGCAGAGGGCAGTGACCCCCCTGTCCCCAAGGGCACACAGTGCCCTGCAGAGCTCTGCTCCACTGCCAGCCCCACTCCACACCCTGCCCTGATGGATGCAGGTGCCCATACTGACCTCTCCAGCTTTTCTTCTCCAGCCACTGCTGAAGTTTGAAGCCAATGAATCCATTGAGAGAGACTGAGGCATTAAACCACCCCCAGTGCTTTTGTCCCCAGAATAAAAGCTTCACACAACATGGGCTGTCTGCCCCCACACAGGGCAGGAGCCTCATCTGGACAGCACCAGACTGACCATCACTCTGTCAGGGTGACACTCACCCAGTCTTGGAGGCACCTTGATGCTCCTGGAGCTTTCTGAAAGGGGCTTCATAAAACCTCACCAATGCAAATGCAGGAGTTTGTTCTCAGTCTCTGCACGCAGCATCACAGACTGCCAAGGACACAGCAAGGTCACCCTGAGAGAACTAAAATCACAGAATGCTCAAACACTTGGGGTTGGAAGGGACCTTAAAGCTCATCCAGTCCCACTCACTGCCATGGGCAGGGACACTTTCCACTTCCCCAGGGTGCTCCAAGCCCTGTCCAGCCTGGCCTTGGACACTTCCAGGGATGGGGCAGCCACAGCTGCTCTGGGCACCCTGTGCAACTCCACCTTGTGTGGGTCAATGTCTTCTGCTTCCTCTGTGGCCCCTTCACAAACTGGCAGCTTAAAAATCACCAGTGATTCCTGAGCACCAGAAGAGGATCTGCAGTGCACCTGCACAGGCTCAGGCTCTGGGCAGTGAAGTTACTCAAATAAAGGTCTGTAATTAAATAAAACCACACAGAACCAAGCACACACTATCTGCCATATGGAGGGCATTAGTGCACTATAATGACAGCCTGCAGCAGGAGTATAATTAAGAATATAGCAGGATTCCCATTATAAATCCTTATTACTGAGGGTTCATAACCTACTGTACAAACCCGCCCGGGGCTCAGGCTCAGCAGACAAGAGCAGCTCCAGCAGCAGATTTCAGTCTCAAAAGCTACTTACAAAGCTGGGTGGAAAGGTTATCACTCTTTTAAATTTCTGCAATTCCAGCAGAGTGTCAAGAGTTAAGACTTCATTATTTCCAACCTTTAACAGCTGGGGGATGGGGCAGATTTGGTTTCAAATAATAAAAAATAAACAAATTAAAAATCAACCCTCAAACGAGCTGCTTTTACAGTTTCAAACCCCTCTGAGCACAACAAACACCCCAGTGATGGTGTGAGCTCTAAATTCCAGGTGAGAACCATGGGCACGTGAGGTTGACAGATGATGCTGTGGCAGCACAGAATCACTGACATTTCCATTCTGTACCAATACCACAGCAAATCCCACATCACTGACTGATAGTGCAGGAGGAAGGGAGGCTGCTCAGACTCAGCTGGGATATACCCTGGAGCAGAAGAATGGCAGGATTGCAGCATCCACCAGCACATCTGAAAGGGATGGAGCAAGAGTGGGATCTGGGATGATACCTGCTGACTCCTTATACAGATCTGCAAAATTTGGATTTGGGCCATGAATCTCGTTTCTAAGTTGGTGACAGCCCATAAACCACCTCTGGTTCAGTTTATGATGCTTCAGCTTCTGTTCTCCCACTGCCATCCCATGGAGCACGTGGCTCATATTTCACTGCTCAATATATTTCATGTCTCCAAAAGACACCAG